ACTACTATGATTACCGATACGACGACGACTGCTACTACTACTACGGCTACTACTACGACGACGACTACTACTACTATTCGACTACTCATCCTACTTCTACTACTACTACTACTACTACGCCGCCGACTACTTCTAATACCACCACGGCGACTACTACTCTTACGACTACTAGTACTGGGACTAATACTACGACGACGGCGACGACGACGACGACGACGACGACGACTACTACTACTACTACTTACTACTTCTACTACTAGTACTACTACTACCACTTCTCCGACGACTACTACTACTACGACTACTACTACTACTACTACTACGACTACTACTACGACTACTACTACTACCACTATTACTACTAGTATTCCTATGACTACTACTACCACTACTACGACTACTATTACTACTACTACTACTACTACGACTACTATTACTATTACTACTACTACTACGACTACTTCTATTACTACTACTACTACTACTACTACCACTACTACTACTACGAATGCGTTTACTGTTATTTCTACTACTACGACGACTACTACTACTATTACTACTTCTACTGACCGGGCAGCCCATAACAGACTCTTTGCATACATATACATATACGTATACATATATATGTATAAATATATGTGTATACCTACATTTGGATGTCCGTATGTAGGTACATGTATGTATACATATTCAACAGGTGTGAAAACTGTTTGTGAATGTATATGTACATACTACTGCTGTATCAATGTAGAAGTAAACTTGTATGACTGTGTGCATACATTCATGCATCGGTATGTTTGTAGATATACTACTACTACTACTACTACTACTACTACTACTACTGCTACTACGACTACTAGCACTACTACTGCTACGACGGCTACATTTACTACTACTACTACTACTACTTCTACTACTATTACTACTACTACCACTACTACTACTACTACTACTACTACTACTACTACTACTACTTGCGCACTGCAGCACCATACAGCACACTACAGCACTAAGCAACACTGTGCAGCACCTTACACAGTACAGCTTACACAACACGCACTACATATACAGCACACATCACACACACTACATAAGTATCACACACACACTGCACGTACAGCGCACACACAGCACACACATATACACATAACCAGCATACACATACAGCACACACACCATACACATACAGCGCACCGACTGCCACGACCACTGACTCTCAGCCACCACCACGACAACGAGTCCACATCAGGGGCCTGTTATGGACTCCCCGCGCACTGCTACGACTACTACTACTACTACTACTACTACTACTACTACTATTACTACTACTACTACTACTACTACTATTACTACTACCACTACTACTACTACTACTACTACTACTACTACTACTACTACTACTACTACTACTACTACTGCGAATACTACTAATACGACTACTACCACGACTATTTCTACTACGACTACTACTACTACTACTACTACTACTACTACTACTACTACGACTACTACTACTACTACTACTACTACTACGACTGCGACTGCTACTTCTACTGCTACTTCTACTGCTACTACTACTACTCCTACTCCTACCCTTACTCCTTTTACTATTACTTCTACTCCTACTACGACTACGACTTCTACTACTACTACTACTACTACTACTACTACTACTACTACTACTACTACTACTACTACTACTACTACTACTACTACTACTACTACTACTACTACTACTACTACTACTACTACTACTACTACTACTAATACTACTACTACTACTACTACTACTACTACTACTGCTACTACTACTACTACTGCTACTGCTACTGCTACTGCTACTGCTACTACTACTACTACTACTACTACTACTACTACTACTACTACTACTACTACTACTACTACTACTACTACTACTACTACTACTACTACTACTACTATACTACTACTACTACTACTACTACTACTACTACTACTACTACTACTACTACTACTACTACTGCTACTACTGCTGCTTTTTTCTTGGGGCCTCTCCTGGAGGTTCCCCGTCGCCACGGCTGGGTCCGCCCCCGGAAACAAGTCATTGTGCACCCCAGGAGGGTTCCGGGCACCGATCTTGAGCGCAGTTGGGCCGCTCGCTCGCCGCGAGTGAACACGGGTCTTGAGGGAATGAGGGGTCAAGAAGGACGAAAGGAAGGAGCAGGAGGAGGAGGAGGAGGAGGAGGAGGCCCCGAGGCCGCGGGGCCTCGGGACCCGATGCCTTCCTGAAGAGCAAGACAGGGGCAGCACGTGCGAGTGGCGAGGAAAGGGGATAAGAGAGGGAGGGCGATGATGATGAGAAGGCGAAGATGGAGAAAGGGGGATGAGGGGGAGGAGGGGGAGGAGGAGGAGGAGAAGGAGGAGGAGGAGGAGGAGGAGGAGGACGCGGAGGAGGATCTCTGATCCATTTCTTGGCAACGCCAGACAGGAGTTGGAGGAGGAGGAGGTGGAGGAGGAGACGGAGGAGGAGGAGACGGAGGAGGAGGAGGGGAATCTACAAAGCAGTGCGCAGACATCTGGAGGGACGGGCTAAGGAGGAGAAGGATGGAGAGAGTGCGGAGCAGGAGGAGGAAGAAGAGGAGGAGAGAAGGAGAGGAGGGAGTGGGTAGAATGGCTGAGGCAAGCGAAAAGACGGAGGCGGGAGGAAGAAGGCCGAGGATTTTTGCTGCAGCGCGGCCACCCTTCAGCAGCGGCGTCGAAATCACACCTCCCAGAAGAGAAATCTAAGCGAAGGCTGGAGGCCCGCGAGGCGAGCTAGGGTCCCGGCGGCCAGAAGGGGAAGAAGGCGGAGGAGCAGGAAGAAGAGGATGCGGTAGACACGAAGAGAGGAATTGTCCGCCTTGCTCGTCGGCCTTGGCCGTTCTCTTTCCTCCATGATCTACATCGCCGTTCGGGTTCGATAGCTCAGCAGCTCAAGCTCCACCCCTCCGCCCCTCCGCCCCTTCCTCCTCCTGCTCTTCTTCAATATCCTCCTCCTCCTCCTCCTCCTCCTCCTCCTCCTCCTCCTCCTCCTCTCCATCCTCCTCCTCCTCCTCCTCCTCCTCCTCCTCCTTCCCCATCCCTTCAGATGTCTGCGCAGTCCTCTGTAGATTCCCCTGCAGGCGCCCCCTCTCCGTCCCATCCTCTCCCTCTCTCCCCATGCATCTTCGCCCCTACTCCCTCCCCTCCTCATCCTCCCTCCCTCCGTCCTCGCCGTCCTCCCACTCCCTCACCCCCCCTCCCTCATCCTCCCCCTCCCTCCCTCCTCCTACTCCTCCTCTTCCTTCTCCTCCTCCTCCTCCTCCTCTGTGCTCGCGGGCCGTAGGCCTCGTGAGCAATTGCCAGCGTGGTTGAAGATCCCGTGCCGATGCGGAGCCCGCTCACGAAGCGGGAGGGCGGAGGCTCAAGTAGTGGCGTAGCGTCCCGGCCTGCCTGCAGCCCACCGAAGAATCTTCTAAGAACCCTTGGTGGTTTGCGCGAGATGTTCTTAGAACATTTCTGGCTGAGACAGTACTGTTCCAGCACACGTCTTTCATGGTCCAAGAACATGGCTTCTGTTCTTGGAACATTACTCCGTTCTAAGAACATGCCGCGGTAGGCCTATAGGAATGGCGGGACGGTCGGTCCCTGCTCGAGGCGGCTTCAAGAGTCCGAGCCCCCTTAGGCCAGGAGAGGAGGGAACCCGGGGGACGAACAATGACATAAACATGAAAAGTCGGAGGTCCGCGCGGATGCCTCGGGTCCGCGCTGGACCCCCCTCCTTGGCGCGCGGAGCGCGCCAGGGGTTTGGAGGCGCCGCCAGGGGGGTCCAGCGCGGATCCGAGAAATCCGCGTGGACCTCAGAGTTGTTCTGATTATGTCATTGTTCGTTCCCTTTGTGTCTCCCCAAACCCCCACATTGGATGCGGCTGTGGTGAAGCCGCCCTCCATCCCTCTTCGCATCCGATGCCGTGAGTGGAGGGGGTCCTGCGGGAAAGAACTCCTATTGAACGAGACGTTCAACTTGATTTCGGCATGGTGTAAGCAAGGTTTTCAAAACTTCCAGGCCCTGGGCTGGCAAAACACCTCTCGGGGCGAAAGGGTTCCTGCAGAAGGCACTAGTTCCAGGGCCCGTTTCCCTCAAGGCCCACTTCCCTCGCGGCAAGCCGCCGCCCCGGTTCTCCATCGCCCTCCCTCCTTCCCGATCTGTCGATGCTCGTTTGGGGGACCTTCCCGAGACCCACCTTACGGATCTGTTCGACTCCAGTTCGACTCCAGTTGGATTTAAGATCGACTCAAGTTCGACTCAAGTTCGGCTCAGGTTCGACTCAGGCTCGACTCAGGTTCGATTCGAGTCGACGGACGTTCGACGCAGCTTCGGCGCACGAGTGGAGCGAGCGGCTCCAAGAAGGTCCACAGGATGAGCATCTGACGATCTCCGCCCCCCCCCCCCTCGCTCACTCCTTCACCCGCTCCCTCCCATGTTCCCCCCCCGCCTCCTCTCCCCTTTCATCCTCCCTTCGTCCTCCTCCCTCCCTCGCTCCTTCCTCTCATCCCCTCCTTCTGTCCTGCCCTCCTCCCCTGCCCCCTCTCATTCTCCATTCACACCCCAACTCCTACCCATTCCGAGTTGTCCTCCCCTCCCCCTCCACGCTTCTTCCCTTTTCCCTCCTCCCTCCCCCCCTTGGCGCGAGTCGTTCGGCGTCTCTCGGCCGCCCTGGAACGGGCGCTTCCCGATGGCAGGAGATGTTGCATGACACCGTCCTTCGCCCGCTAGTTCTCTGCACTCCGCTCTCCGCCTCCTCGTAGGGCGACGAGATCTATACATATCCACTGCTCCCGGCCAGGCCAATCCTGGGCCCAAGAGCTGTGTATACGCCCTCCTGGCTTGGCCAGGGAGGCATATACACCGCTCCTGGGCCCAGGATGGGCCTGGCCAGGAGCAGTGGATATGCACAGATCTCGTCGCCCTATCCTCGTCTCCCTGCCCCGAGGAGCCCCGGATGAAGCGGACGCTCGGTGACCACCCGCTGGCCGCGGCGCCAGCGAAGAGGGCCGGCCCTGCGCCGGAGCCGCCCGCGGGCGCCGCGGGTCGCTGCCGCCAGGCGCGCGGGCGACCGATCGCCAGAAGGCTACCGCTACGCCCACGGCAGCCCTGAGATGCGAACGCCGCAATGTGCTCACGCCGGTTGTGCCCGCAGATCGGGGGAGAAAAAGATACGGATACGTGTTGTCCCCCGTCGTTTTCGGCCTTTCCTGGTCCTCCTGGGGAATCCTCGTTGTCACCGCTGGATTCGCCTCGAAATTCTGGTCAGAACGCACCCCAAGAGAGGTCCGGGGACAACACGTATCCGTATCTTTCCGCCCCCCAAGCAGAGTGTTGGTCGGACGATCCACAGTTGGGTGCGGACGACACGGGCACAAAGCCGAGAGCAGTTCCTGCTATTTCTGGACGGGGCTCGCTGTCGCTGTCGCCGCGGCATGCGTGCACTTGGAAAAGGCCGCCGCCTGCCCAACAGATGCCGCTGCTGGCTGGGGGGGCAACACGAGTTGATGGGCACTGCACCCATCTTTGCCTTACCCACTCCGGGCGTCCGAAGTCGGGGCCCGGGGCCCCCACAGGTCGGCCCGGCTCGAGAGCTGCTGCAGAAGGATCGGGGTCGAGAGTTATGATGTTCCAGCCCAGAAATAATCTCGAGCGCCAAGAAATTACCGAAACTGGAGGGTGTTTTCATGTGTCGGGCTCTGGGAGGCGATACTCGTTCGATACTGTTTCGATCATCATCTGGGAGCTCGAACTTATTTCTGGGATATGGTTCCCCATCGCGGGCAGCCGTCGCGCGCCGAATGTGCTCCGGCACCCGTCGCGGCGCGACGACGAGGCGAGGTTGACCCCTGTCGGGGGGTACCCCCCCACGCTTACTAAGAAACTCAGAGTACCCACTTGGGCCGTCCGAAATCGGGGCCCAGGGCCCCCACATATCGGCCCGGCTCTAGAGCTGCTGCAGAAGGATCGGGGTCGAGGGCTCCGTTCGTGACTCCCCACGGCGTTTTGGCACTCTTCGCGGCTTCTCGTGCGCCCCCGGGGGAGGCAGCGGCGCGCCACCACCACCACGCTCCTTGGGCCAGGGCCGCCTTGAGGTCGAGGATTTGGTGTGTCTCCCGTCGCTTCTGGTCAGTATCGTTTAACCGATCCCCATCCCCATCTCCATCCCCTTCGAGGCCCCCACCAAACTACCACCCCAGTTGGGGATACACCCCTCGAAACCCGAAGATAACGACCTATATCCCCATCTAGGGGGGTAAATCGGCCAGCGGGGGGGATGGGGATCGGTTAAACGGTACTCATCTGGGCATCCAAGATGGGGTCGGAGCAGATGGGGTCGGAGGATCGCGCCGCACCGCTGATGCATCGGCGATGCGGCTCGATGCGGAGCCCGATTTTCTCCACGCCGACGTCGCCGACGCGTCGCCAACGTCGGCGATGCAATGGCGATGTGGCGCGATCTTCGACCCCATCTGGTCGGACCCCATCTGGGAGGCCTCCATCGCTGGCCCCCGCCAGGAGGCCGTGCGCACCACCCCAGGGCCCAGCACGGCCCCGGCCAGGCGCGGCGATGACGTACCGCTGTCATTCCCCCCACGGCGCGTCGTCGTCGTCGTCGTCGCACGCCCTCCAGCCGCGACCCCCACTGCTGGGGGAACAAAAAGTGTCATAAACATAAAAGCTCGGAGGTCCGCGCGGACTTCTCGGATCGGCGCTGTACCCCCCTCCCTGGCGCGCGGCGCGCGCCAGGGGCGGCGCCGGAGGCGCTGCTGGGGGGCCCCAGCGCCGATCCGAGAAATCCGCGTGGACCTCCGAGTGTTTATGTTTATGCCACTTTTTGTTCCCCTAACTGCGCGGTGGCGTAGCTAGGACGTCTGGCGACTCCAATCCGGCATCGCGCCGAAGGCTTCTAATTACTTGTGTTCGCACTGTTCGGCCCCCGCGGGCAGCGTCCGGGCCCTGGGGCCGTCCAGCAACGTGCTTGGATAACAGTGCTGTCCTGGGCAAGGGGTTTGGCCGACCTGTTTTCCACCACCACCGCCATAGGTTGGAGCGGGAGGGGGTCCTCCTCCTCTTCCTCCTCCACCTCCTCCTCCTCCTCGTCCTCCTCCTCCTCGTCCTCCACCTCCTTCCCCCCTCCAGCTTATGCTGGTGGTGGTGGTGGTGGTGGAAAACAGGCCTATCAGGGTTCGAGGTCTCAAGGGACCGGCGGCGCGAAGACATCGAGCCATGGCCGCTGGCACCGCAGGTCGCCTGGGAAAGGGGACGCTCGCACCCGAAGTACCCCCGCAGGCGGCTTCTCGCCTGCAGCCCCCGAGTTCCCTTCCCCACCACAGGCTGGACACACGGAACAGAGAGGAACCTCGGGGTCACACCACCGGGGGCTATTCGGACGCACCCCCCCGTCGAGGATGGACGCCCCCCAGAGAGCCAGGGAACGGGACCGCCGCAGGGTGGGGGCCATCGGGCAGGAGTGTGCCCAGGAGGCTTCTGACCCTGGAGGCTTTCTTATCTGATGCGGGCGGCGGCGCTATCTGTGTGTGAAGCCCGCTCATATCATCACTGCTGACGTCTCGGCTCAGGTACTGGAGACAGGTACAGCGCCGCCTGCCTGCGGCGCATGGGAAAAGGGATTGCTACCCTCTCCCTTGCCTTACCCTCTCCATTGCCTTCCTCCACCTACGGCAATCCTTGTAGGTTCGATTCCTCGGTCGTCAACCGACATACACACTGCCCATGGCCAGCCAGCGGTTGGAAGAGTCCTCTTCTGGCCCGGGCTGCTCTCCGAGAGGGGCCGAACGGCCATGCGCGGCCGCCCTGGAGGCTGGAGCCCCGCGCGCCGCCGCGCTGGGCCTGGACAGGCCCTGCTCCAAGAGGGGGAACAACACACACATATACAAGTCGCCGTCGATTCTCAGGAAGACATGGGACAATATGGGAAGTGGGGGGGAAGACGAAAATCAAGAACACATGAGAAAATACGGGGGGTCCTGGTATTCGTGTGTATTTACGTGTGTGTGTGCGCCCCTGGGCACCTTCAGGTGCTGTCTGGTGAGGGGGGACAAGGGAAACGTAGTTTCGTTTGAGTTTGAAGTTGCACCTGCTTCCAGACCCCGGGTTTCTTCTCGTGCGGCTACGCGTAAGAGTGAGCTTTCGCCGTGGTGACCTGTCCTAGCCCGCGCAGCAAAAAGGCATTGTTACATAGGGCCACTTCTTGCGCGCAGCGGATTCGAGGCTTTTGTTGGCGGTTTCGTCTGTTCTCGGCGGGTTGCCAACCTCGGGCTGCTTTTCAGCAGCTGCGGTTCATCGAGGACATTCCGGGGGTGCCCGAATCGTCCCGGACGGCCGCTGGAGAGTGGAGCCACGAGCCGAAGACCAAGGGTCCCAGGTCTCGCACTGAAGTGCCCGCTGGGATGTGCCCAGCGGTCAGTGCCACCGCGTCTGCGTCGGTCGCGCCAAACTAGCTGGCCGCTGCGCGCGCGTGCTTGGCTTGGCGCGGTCGCAAAAATGCACCAGCCAATGCCAGGCATTCATCGCAATCGCCACCGCATGGGTTTTGCAAACCAAGTTGCGGCTGAATGGGTGGGATGTTTCCAAAAAGCGTGGGATGTGTCATATCGTTTGTTTAAAAGATAAGTTGCGCAACGTACAATGCACCACACAAATTGGTCCGCGACGATTCTGCCGCACAGGTTGCATCACGTATATTACATCGCGTCGAAGCTACCCGAGAAAACAACAAACAAACTCTGTTTAGGGCTGTAGGGTGATGGGACAATAAGGCTATAAGGCATTGGGGCTCTTGGGCTTTAGGGCTACACGGCTACAGGGCCATAGGGATATGGGGCTATAGGTCTATAGGACTTTAGGGTTATAGGGCTACAAGGCTATAGGGGTGAAGAGGTATGAGGGAGATTGGGTTATAAGGGTTAGTAGGGCTATAGGGCTGGAGGGCTACAGGGCTATGGAGCTATATGACTGTAGGCTATGGGGCTATAGAGCTATAAGGCAATAGGGTTATGGGCTATAGGGCTATAGTGCTACAGGGCTATAGGTCTATAGGGCGATAGGGAAATCGGGCTACACGGGTATATGGCTATAGGGCTATCGGAGGTTGGGGGTGAGATTGCACTGGAACGGAAACCCCCAACCGGGAAATCCTTTTGTTTCGTTCGTGTCGTGCGTACGGGCGAGGCGAAGCTGCGTGGGCGCCCGAGAGGAATGAACCCGCCGTTGCTAGGGCGAAGACAAGGCACATGTTTCTTCTCCGTCCGCCCGCCCAGCGGTGGCCCTAGGGGTTTCCCGTGGTGTCTCGTTGAATGAGATTGATAGTGATATCGATTGTGGGATCGACAAGTGTCCCGTGGTGTCCCGTGGTCCCCGCGGTGTCCCGTTGAATGAGATCGATAGTGAGATCGATTGAGTCAGATGTTGGTTCCCCCCTGTCCTCCCCCCACAACCTCCTTATTTCCCGAAGGGTGGTCGTATAGGTAGGACTATAAGGCTACAGGGCTATAGGGCTATCAGGCTCCAGGGTTATAGGACTATTCGGGATATTGGGCTATCTGGCTAGTGGGCTATAGGGCTATTAGGGCTATAGGGCTATAGGGCTACAGGGCAACAAAGCTATGGAGCTAGAAGGCTATAAGGCTATAAGGCTATATGGCTACGGGCCACCCAGGCACCCGGGCACCCGTGCACCCGGGCGTACCGCCGAAACCTGCGCCGTATTTCACCTAACCGTATGGATCCGCCAGGACCCCTTCAGAGGCAAGCTCTGATTGGGGAATGACCACGCACATATCTATCTATCTGTATACAAGATATATCTATATATACACATATATATATGTACATATATATATATATATATATATATATCGATGGACAGCCCCCCCCTCGCACCCATTCTCCGCCGTCCTCCTTTCCACGAGGCTGGAGTCGTGCCGTTCCCCCTTCTCTTCGCTGAAGCCTTCCCCTGCGTCCGATAGCGGCACATGCTCCACAAACGCCGACGTGACAGATGCAATCGTCTGTTTCCTCGGCATAGAGGGGGAA